TCTTATTTATCCATAGACATTTGGGCTGCTTCCATAATTTGGCTATTGTAAATAATGCTGCAGTAAACATAGAGGTGCATATATCTTTTTGAATTAGTGTTTTCATATTCTTTGATTAAATACCCAGTAGGGGAATTACTGGATCATATGATAAGTGTAATTTTAATTTTTTGAGGAACCTCCATACTGTTTCCCACAGTGGCTGCACAAATTTGCATTCCCACCAACAGTTTTGCATGAGGGTTTCTTATTTTTTGATTAATGGACTTATAACTTTGAATTTTTTCTTTATTAATTTTTTACTAAGTCTCACAAATTTGAACATATACTTTATTTAATTTTTAGTAATTTGTGTATTTTTCCCATGTTTCTTCTTTAATGTAAAGATACATTGATAATATAGTTTTACATTTCCAGACATGCAAGGTTTATTTTTTAGTTTTACAATTGCTATTTTTAATTTTGTTGCATTGTGATAAGAGTGTATAGTGTTGGTGTTAATTCTTCGCAATGTATTGGGGTTTCCTTTTATCATAGATATGGCTTCTTTTGTGAGAGCTTTATATATACTTTAAAATAATCTGTATTTTCTATTTGGTGGATAGGAAGTTCTCTATAGAGCTACTATCCTAAGTTTGTTAATCGTATTCTTCAGATTTTCTCATGGTTTGCTTATTTGTTTGCTTGATCTGTTTTTGAGAGGCTATCATAAATTTTCAACTGAAATGTTTATTTTTAAAAAATTGAATTTTAACATAAATACAGTAAAGTACAAAAATACAAGTGTACAGTCTAGTGAATTATCCACAAAGTTGAAAGACTAATGTAATTACTACCCAGGTTGTTAAATAGCACATTATTAGGACCCTAGAACTACCTTTGTGGCCCCCCCTCAATCACTAGAATCCAGTTATCTCCAAAGACAACCATCAGAATTCTTACCCCATAGAGTCATTTGCTTGTTTTTAAATATGTTAATTAAATCATATAGTATTTTATTTTACATATATCTTGTAATATTATGTGAGAGTTATCCATAATGTTATAGCTATTGTTCCTTTTTTACTGTCTTGTTGTATTTCACTGAATAAGTACAAAAATACATCTATCCATTCTACTGTTAATGGACATTTGTGTTGTTTTTATTATTGGCCATTGTGAATAAAGCTACTCTGAATATTTTTGTCTGTATCATTTGGCACGTGGATGTCCTGCATTTTTTTGGTTTATATTCCTAGGAATATATTCCTATGGAATTTATTGGTCAAAGTGTACGTGTATATTTAACTTTAGCAGATTTTACTAGTTGTGTCACACTCTTACCACTCCAGGTGTTATCTTTCTCATGTGGGTCACTATGATGGTGGGAATTAATATCACATTGTGGTTTTAGTTTTAATTCCCCTAATGATAATATGGTTTTGCATTTTTTTAAAAAAAATGCATTGGCCATTTTATCAAGCGTCTATTCAGATTTCTTGTGGTTTTTCTATTAGGTTGCCTCTCTTATCCCTATTGATTTGTAGGAATTTATTATTTATTCTGGATATGAGATCTTTGCCAGTTGCAAATACTTCCTCTTATTTTATGGTTCACTTTTCCAATCTCTTAAGCTTGTCTTTTGATGAGCGGAAATTCTTAATTTTAATATATTTCAATATATCTTTCTTTTGTGATTAGTACTTTGTATGTCCCTTTTAAGAAATCCCTTCTTACACCTGTTGAAGAATATATTTTATGTTTTCTTCTAGATCAGCACTGACTATTAGAGATATAATGTGAGCAAGAAATTTGTGTCACATATATAATTTTATTTATTTGTTTGTTTATTTATTTATTTATATATTAGGGAGAGAGGGAAAGAGAGAGAAGGAGTACGGGGGTGCGAGGGGCAGACGGAGAGACAATCTTAAGCAGACTCCATGCCTAGCGCAGAGCCCAACACAGGGCTCAATTTCACAACCCTGAGATTGTGACCTGAGGTGAAATCAAGAGTTGGGACACTTAATGGACTGAGCCACCCAGGTGCCCCATGTACCACATATATAATTTTAATTTTAAGTAGCCACTTTAAAAAAATGGAGTGAAACAGGTGAAATTAATATGAATAATATAATTATTAACAAGAGTTTTTTGTTCTTTTTCTAAAAACAAGATTTCAAATTCTAGTGGCTGTTTTACATGTATAGCACATCCCAGTTGGCCTAGTGACACTTCAGAAGCTAATAATTACATGTCTCTAATGACTATCATATATCATATATCAACCCATTTGAGAAGCTTTAATGATATGCCATTTGCATTTAGCTCTACCACCCATGTCCCTGTTTTGTGTGTGTGGCATGAGGTAGCATATCTAACAAGGAAACTATGTAACTTCTAGAACTGAAGGACGATCTTCAGGATCTAGAGCCAATCTGGGTCCCTTGGGAATGAAATCAGGCCTTGATGATTCTGGGAATTTGAAAGTGTCTCTCATCTCTGCATATTCTCTTTTATTTCATGAGGATTTACTCAACATGGCAGAGCACATGGCCACCAGTCGTTCTGGGTCACATCTTTACAACTTCCAGTCATTGAGAAAAGATAAATCTCTTTCTATTTAGTAATGGCCTGGCTCAGGTCATGTTCCTATACCTGGCAGCCAGGAAGAGGATTATTTTTGGCCAGATCATTACATGCCCACATATTTATAATCATGGGACAGAAATTATTACCAGAAAAGGGAAGCTACCACAGTATACCACATCTGGTTTCTTCTGTCAGACACTTTTAGAGAGCTGGGGTTATCCATTGTGCACAGAGAGCACTAGATAGATATTTGTAAATAGCACTAATTTGATAGGAATGCTTAAAATGAAGCCTGAGGCAGGAGGAATATAAATGCACTGGCTTAGAACTCATTTTTATGATAGATACACACATATTTGAAGACTATAAATTCTTAGTTTACAAGTTTAGGACTGTTGATTATAAGCGTTTGTTAACATTGAAGGTAACTCAACATTTTCTTTGTAACCCGAATTTTCTGCAAATTTGTGGGTGGTTGGAAGAGGTATGCTGTGCCTTGGTGACTATGTACAGCTTTGCAGAATTTTTGAATATGACTCTTATATGATAGTACAGTCCTTTTGGTCATTAGTCGAACTTCAAGTTTTCTTCAGAATACTGCAAAGGAAGAAAAATGTTGTTTGATATTAAAAGAACATTTTTTTTCTTCTTTTAGAATTTATCTGACTTCCTGTCTGAGTGGGGTCACAGTCTCAATTTATCAGTTCAGTCATTTAGCCCAAAGTTTAAAGTCAAAATGTGGTTCCATATGAGGTAAAGATGAAAAGTTATTCCCTGGGATTCCTAGTGTTCTACTTTTAACTCCCTATTTCTTCAGCACTCGTTAGTTCTCCTTTTGGGGAAACAGAGAACTCTCCCCTCACTTGTGTGATGGGAAGGAGAGGTAGGGAGGAGAGAAGTGAAGAAGACTCTTCCTTTAGCTTCCTTTTTTTTTTTAGGAGTGTCAACAAGATTGAATGAGGGAAACTACCCATTTTTACTTTATGAGAGGCATTAACAACTGGGAAAACGTATTTATTTTGGCTGTCTAAAAACCCTGACTTCAGATACCCAAAGCACATTAGATAGGATTTAGGTGGATAATATAAAAAGGAAATGATTAAAGGCTCAATTATTTGGCTGGAAGAGCACTGAGGCGGTAGAATTTTCTCAGGTGCCAAAATAACAGAAATGGTTCTAACCTTCTCCGTGCTACGTTCCTAGTGGCTGTTCCTTTCTTGCGCCCTCCTGAGCTTCCCGCTCCCCTCATCCCCACCTCTCACACACAAGTTTTTTGTTTGTTATTCTTGTTCAGACATTTAGAAGTGTCGTTAAGGGTGTTTGTAAGTGTAGCTTCAGGTAGCTTCAGATAACGTTAAATTCTCACTGACTCCGAAACCATCTATAAATACAGCCAAAAGTGATATCTAAGATTCCTTTTCTTTTGGTATTTGTGTTATGGACACTAGATTAAGAAAGTTAGTAGGGTTTGAAAATGTTTTGCCTTTCTTATTGTTTAAGGTAAACATTTTAACATTAGCTTATATTTCCAGTTCATTTTATATTCATAATCATGATATAACAATAGATCATACCCTTTAGAAAAAAAGTCATACATAATATCACACCTTCCAAAGCTGCTATTCTATGTATTCCTTTTCAAGTGTTTGCTGTATGCATAGTTTTATATCATTGTGATCATTGCTTAATTTTGAAATTAATTTTTTTTGGTAATGCAATGAAACAACATGCAAATGAAGAATATGTATCTTTTACTTAGTTTAGGAGATCACCCAGAGCTGATGAGAATCAGAAAATAGTTATTTTCTGTTTATTCCAGGTAGCAAGAAATCATTTTTATCTTTTAATGTTGAGTAAGTCTCACAATTGTTATGTGCATGACAGTGGCTACACAGACTCATCCTAGCTTTGTAAATACTAGATTTGCCTATATTACTCAGAGACCCCGCCCCCCCAAAAAAACTAAGCAGGAAACATGAAATCTAAAAACTTTTTTGTCATAAACAATGCAGCTTTGGGTTGTGTTCTGTTATCAAAGCAGTTGCATGTGAAATGTTTTACGCGTAAGTTAAAAAAGAAACTCCCTACAAAGCAGTGATCATTTCCTGTTTCATTTTTCATTCTCTTTTCGCGTGAAGAGCTTTTGTCCCTCACTAGGAGTTGCTTTTGTAAAATCTCTGGGAAGGTCTGTTCCGAATTTACTGCTTCTGGATTGGTTAAGATCCCTTTTAAGTGTGTGCTTTGTTCTCTGAAAAGCTTAGGTCAGTTGAGCAACATGCTGCTAATTTTTTTTTTTTTTTTTTTTTTTTAAAGAGCTGAGTAATGCTGGAGCCTTCTCATGTGGCTGATGCAAACCTGGAGAATTTGCATCATCATTAAGCTGGAATAAGTTGGTGTGACAGGCAGGAGCTTAAATACCAGCCCCTGAGGAAGCTGAGCTGGTCTGTAATCATAGGGCAGTAACAGCGGCCGCAGCGGCAGAGGTAGTCCGAGGAGGTGGAGGAATGAGAGCACCATGAACACACAGGTGTTTCTGAGGGGTAATTAGATAGCTGTGGAGGAGAAAATACACCTTTGAGTTCTTACCTGTGAACACAAAAAAGCACTGAGCGAGACAGTCTGAAAGCCAAGAGGAGGAGGTTTGGTCAGTCACACCAAGAGACACCAAAGTTGAAAGTTTGTTTTTTTTTTGTTTTTTTTTTTTTTCTTCTTCCTCTGTTTCATTTTTCCCGTGTGCCACTACAATGGTCAGAAAGCCTGTGGTGTCCACCATCTCCAGTGGAGGTTACCTGCAGGGGAATGTTAATGGGAAGCTGCCTTCCTTGGGTGGCAAGGAGCCACCTGGGCAGGAGAAAGTGGTGCTGAAGAAGAAAATCACTTTGCTGAGGGGCATCTCCATCATCATTGGCACCATCATTGGAGCAGGAATCTTCATCTCTCCCAAGGGCGTGCTCCAGAACACGGGCAGCGTGGGCATGTCTCTGATTATCTGGACAGTCTGTGGGGTCCTGTCACTATTTGGTGAGTGCAGCTTCTTCTCTGGGGGTATGTCTGCGGCGCTGGGCAGTTTGCTGTCTGGGAAAGCAGAGGGTAATTTTTCAGGAGTGAATGAATGGCACAGGCTACATCAGATTTTCTGATTTTTGTTTAAGTGTGCAAACTACCCAAACACAGTGTTCACTCTTGGCAGGAACCTGAATTCCACCAAGTTGCTTCCTGCAGCCCGTACTCCCTTTTCCTGACTAAGACAGACTGTTTTCTGACTTTCCCTGTGGCCATGAGAGCAAAAGCTAACTGATGACCCAGTAAAATACATGTGAACTTTCTGTACCAGGCAGTTTGCTTAGTTACGTATGTTTGAGGCATCTTGGCAGCCAGCATGCTGAATGAAACACCTGTGAAGTGAAACCCGGCGTGGCCTATTTAGGCACAGAACTGAGCATTCAGCAGAAGTGTTACGGTGTTTTTATTGCCAAAACAAACCAGGCGGGATGGGGTGCAGTCTTTTTCTTTTTAACTTTTGAACTTCGCGTGCTTGTCAGTTCCTAATGTTTTCTCAAAAGGCCTTGCCATGATACCATGTATGGTGGCACATAACTCGATTCCTGTGATAAGTGGGAATATTGCAAGGGTCTGAGCATATTTCAATTTTTTTTCAATCTTTCATCTCTCCGTAACACCTATAAACTCTTGCAATATAAATAGGAAAACTGGAATTGGGTGTTAGCTTGCCATGCTTGCCCAGATCTGTTTCCTTCATTTATAGTTCACTTGGTCTTCAGGGACATGGATAACGCGTCCACCTGTCCACTGAGTCAGTCTGAACAGAACTACTAGTAGAAGCATGATGATACAATTTTGCTTCAAAATCTACATCGCTTTTATTGATTTGATGTTAATAGCAAAGAGGTAATAAATGCCTTTCATGGGGTGGGCAAATTACTAGAAAGCTACCTGAGTTAGTTATAAAGGTGACGAAAACTGGTAGAGGGTCAAAAAAATTAAATTTTGCTTACACTATGTGGTAAATGTCCAAGATATATTTGCTCTTTTGTAGCAACTAGTGTGTTTTAATTCTAAAAGTCTCCACTAACACAAAGCTTTGTCCTAACTCTAGGACTAAGTCTTAACTCTTGGTCCTACGCGTACCAATCCATTCATTCTTAAGGCCTTGTGATGTTTTAATGCATTCCTTTGGGTATTCATCTAGAGAAGCCAAATTTCCATTATTAGGAGGAAGGTATTTCAAGGAAAACTTGTTAAAACAAAGCCTTAGTATAGAAAGGTATATAGAAGAATTATTTTTGGGTTTTTAAAGAGTTTGTGGTATTCTGTATGGTTCTGGCATGTACATTTATAGACAAAGAGAAACCTAATTGTTGCTCTTAAATGACTTTGTGCACCCTCAGTCTTTAATCTCCTACAAATACTTGGTAAATTGAGAATACATCAATGTCTAGTAGGAAAAACCATAACCAATTTCCTGGACTTTTCATACTTGTATACATGCAGCTCCCACTGTGTGCTTTGATGTGTGTATGCAATAAAAGGTTATTCAGATATAGTAAAATGGATTGGGCTGAGGACTGAACTAGTTAAAATGCTATAGTGCTATGAAAATATGGTTCTGTGTAAGTATATCAACTCAAGCAGACGCAGAGGGAAAAAAAATTAAAAGGACTAGCTAAGGTTACACTTGAGTTTATATTCTTTGATTACTAATCACAGGGAGCATGCTCCTGTATTAATCTACTTATCTGTATTTACATTTTATTTGTCATTTAAGTTCCTAGGAGCTTTTTGGCAGGAGTGCCTTCCTAACAGGAAGCAAAGCAAAATGTAAGGAAAACAAATCCTTTTTCTTAAAACTCTAGAACTCTGGGACTAAGGGTAAAGAATCTGTATATTTGGTTTATAATTTTTTTTTTTTTTTTTTTTTTAAAGCCAGGGTCAATACATGGTTTTTTACATCCTGTTTTGAACTTTTTTCATCTGGGTAAAATGGTTATGGCGCTTGAGACTTTTAAATGAAAATCTCATTCCTCTAGAATCCAATTTAAACCTAGGGCAACCATCCTGGAGTTTCAGCAAAGCATACACAGGTCTGGATATTGATTCTCTGGCAATAAATTCTGAGGTACTTAAGACTTTCCAATAACATTTTATATTGGAAGCTTTTTTTTTTTTTTTTTAAAGATTTTATTTATTTATTTGACAGAGAGAGACACAGCGAGAGAGGGAGCACAAGCAGGGGGAGTGGGAGAGGGAGAAGCAGGCTTCCCGCTGAGCAGGGAGCCCGATGCGGGACTCAATCCCAGGACTCTGGGATCACGACCCGAGCCGAAGGCAGCTGCTCAACCAACTGAGCCACCCAGGCGCCCCTTGGAAGCTTTTTCTGTACAGGCTACCAGCATGGCAACTGGTTTCCAACAGAGTGAATTGCAGCTAGTTACAATTATTTACAAATAGGCAAGCTATATTAGTGATCCTCAAAAATCAATCTACAGACCAGTTACTTTAAAATCATCTGTACAAATTTTAAAATAATAGATTTCTTTGGATCCCTCTATTGGAGATCTGGACTCACTTGGTAGAGAACAGGTGTGGGGTATGGCCTTAGAGTCTGTTCTTTGTGTGTATTTAAGTAAGAAATTTACTTCCATATGATTCTGATACAGAGCTAGGTTCAGGAACAGGATAAATGATATTAAGATTTCACTGAATATCCAAATTTTACTCCTCTTGGACAGTTCTGCCTGAAGTTTTTCTGATCAGTAATAATTTCCCACACTTTTAGTCTCTGAAGTAGCTCTGCCAAAAATTGTGTTACATTTGAGTACTTTGCAGTATGAACAGCATTTTTCACATAGTATCAAGATGTATTTTTCATTTTCCTGATAGTTAATTGCTCAAATTAATAAGTATATTTCATGAGGTGTCCTCTGTGTATCAGGCCTGGTACTGTCCTTGGTGCCCATTATCACATGTGTACACACAACTCCCTTATGAGGTAAGAACCGAGATCTCCATTTCACAAAGGAAGAAATGTAGGTTTGGGGAGGTTACATGACTTGCTCAGGTCCATGTGAATCGTATTGCTAAATGTTGAAATTGCTAACTGTTTAAAATTAATTTTACCTAATATACATAAGTTATAGCATCTCTTTTTAAACAGTATTTCAACTACCCAGAAGTGTGCACTTCAAAAGAATCCAAGAAAACCTTTTCTAGAAATAGAATATTGGAGTCAAAATTCATTTTGTTGACAGACCATGTCCTACAAATTAAATGAGGTCTTGCAAGGCCTAGAGTCTATACTTTTCTGAAGAACAAATAAATCTTGTTAATTTTGATGTGTGACAGAAATATCATTTATTAAAAGGATTCTTAATTTTATGAGGTCAGTTTGAGATAATTCCTTGTCTTGGTGTGTAGTTCCTTTAAAAATAGGTTAGCATTATTGGCATCTACTCTTTTCCTCAGGTTTGAGATTAAAAATTCTTAATAATATGATACTACTTTAGAAGTTTGTCTTTACCATTTCAAGTAAGATTACATTGTTTGAATACAATGAACTAGTTCTCAAATATGAGGAAGTTATAAGGAGAATTTGGTGGCTTCTAACAATCAGATGACTGTTTCTTCTCCTGAAATGAGGACCTCATTCAGACCAAATGATGTAGTAACGTTAATCTCATGTAACATAAACATTATTGTATCAATTCTTCTCTTGGATGACTTGGTAATATTTTAACTCTGTACCTTTTTATTATGTACTTTTCACAGGAGCCTTGTCCTATGCTGAATTGGGAACAAGTATAAAGAAATCTGGTGGTCATTATACATACATTCTGGAAGTCTTTGGCCCATTACCAGCTTTTGTACGAGTCTGGGTAGAACTGCTCATAGTACGGTAAGAGCATAGATAAGAAAAATATTAAGGAAAAATAAATCCATTCATTACACTCTCTTTGAATCATCTTAATTATTTTTAATGGATTAGAACTATGCATGTCACGTGACTATGTTGTAAACAGGCCTATTTCAGGGTTTGAAGCCTGTATGAAATACCTCTGTCAATTAATGTTTTTAACGCAGTTCTGTCACTTGTAGTACTTCTCTGTCCATGCCAGACTTTTAAAGTTACTGATTTTCTTTACTGTTCAATTATTCTCTGACATTTTTGGAAGATATGTTGACCTGAAAGGATACAAATCATGAAAATCTACCTTGATAAATCATACCTTTTGACTGGCCAGACAAAATAAGTGCTATGCTAGTAGTTGGGGTTTTTCTTCTTGTAGATTACATTGTCATTTAACTCTACTGAGTTGTCGTGACCAGGAAACTTCTGTGCCTAACAACTTAATGTGTCACTGAGTTTACTACTTTACAGAAAACAAAACAAAACAAAGCTCGAGTGACTCACTTCCTCTTGTCAGGCAAATCAGTGAACTATAGTTGTGAAAAAAAATTTTTATTGCTGTAAGATATGTGCTCCTTTCTAATTGGCTTGGCTTAAAATCAAACCAAATAGTGCTAAGTCACTCTGAATAGCAAATTTCCTTTACCTTTGTGGGAAATCTGTGATGTCATATGAGAAGTGTAGAGTATCACAGTTCCTTAAGGCTAACTGCTACCATAATGTGACTTGCACATTCTGATTGCAGACTTTAACAGAAATAACTGGAGAAACTTGCTCTTACCATAAACTTATCAGACACATGCAGCAGAGAGCTCCTGTGAGCTTTTATCCTAACATTTTTCTAACAAAGAGCTTAGAGTAGTATTTACTTCTATAAGTCTGTTCTCATTTTAGACAATTTTGCATTATTTTAAACTTGTTATAATGAAATAATAAGAAAGGAGTATTTTGGTCATTTTCTAAAATCTGGGATTTGCCTGGGGTGTACCTTCTGATCTTTTTTGATTTATTTGAATATTACTCTTCAAAGGTTAACCTAAATCCTATCTTTTCCACAGTTCATTTCCTGTTCGCCCTAGTTTATATTTCTTTTCTCTCTTAATTCTTCGGAAAAAATGCAGTCTCTCCTTATTTGACATTCAACACGATATCTTGTAGTCTTACTTAGTATTTCCAGGTATCTATGTTCTGTTTCCCCTATCAGAAACGCAGGCATTTTAAGTACATAAGACCAACTCTCACACTTTTTGAAACCATTATACTTCTTAATCAGTGTCCTGAGTATCACAGATAGTAAATTCTTTTTGAGCAGCAATATTAAATTCTTTTGAATAATTTAATTCTTTTTGACTGAAAGTTTAAAGTTATAATATTTTGAATACAACATTCCCAGCACTCAAATGAGGATACTACTTATTTAGAGTGCTGGCCTGTTAGGATGGTGAGAGCCTGATATAGCTGCACTTGAATCCCTCTTCAGCTGTGTATTTGTTGCATGGCTTTGGCTGATTGCTTGGCATTATAATGAACATGATCGCTCTTTTCACAGTAGCACAGATACAGTGCTCATTCACTTATTTATTCATTCCTTAAACAGCTACTGAGTGGTGAATGGTAAGTTAAAGAGATCTAAAGTGGAAGGAGCCACAATTCCTGTTCCCAAGTAGCACAAAATTAAACATTAGTTAACTGCAAGACAGCTGCTTCGTGGTGTGTGTGTGCGTGCGTGTGTGCGTGTGTGCGTGCGTGTGTGTGTGTGTGTGTGTTTACTGACAGAGGAAATTACCCAGATATATTCTAGAAGCTTTTTTTTGAAGGGTTCATATATTCCTTTGTAATAAGGGACTCACATTGCTTGGCTGGTCTTCCAAATAAGCAGAGTAATGAATGACTTGAGGTTTGATAAGATACCTAGGTACTTTAGTATTTCTCATCTGTTAACACCCATGGTATCTAAATACTTAAAATGATGCTTCATACTTATCAGGAATAATCTGTAGAACACAGATTTCAAGAAAATAAATATCATACATCAGTACATAGCAGGGGTCTTTAGATTGAATTCACCTATTAACCATATATTCAAATGTTTATTGGGTTTCTACTTATGATAGATACTATACTAAACACTGGGGATAAAATAGTGATTAAGATGGACAGAGTCTGGAATTCATGGAGCTCAGGGTCACACGAGGGAAATAGTTATCAATCAAGAAATCACATAGTGAAGATAAAGTTGCTACTGTGATAAGCACCGTGAAAGGGAAGCCATGAGACTGAGTGAGCAAGTGTACTTACTCATAGAGCTCTCACCCAATCAGAAGGTTAAAGGAACTTCCTTGAGCAAAAAAAAAAGATTGAACAAAGATATGGGTATCAAAAATGTCAGTGAGGTTGCTGGTGTTCCTGGCAAAGGGTATTCATCTCCTTCTAGTGGGAAGAAGCAAACCAAGAGGAAGGGAACGCTTAGACCAGATGGAGCCATAACTGAAGGATTTTGCATATCCTGAGCATGTTTTGAAAGCACTAAAATGACGTGATCAGATTTTAATTTATACATTAAAAATTTGCAAATGATGTAGAATAGGAAAAATCATCTCTTGGGAGTGGAAGAGGGGAGGGTCTTTAGGAAAAGAAGAAAATCGAAAAAATATATGGTGCTGTCTATTACAAGCAGGCTAACGTTGGAACATAATGGTGGTTGGTTTTCTGACAATCTAGGGATTTAGCATGGGTGCTGAGTAACTCTGAGAAGAGAAGCTGAAAGCAAAGATTGGCATGAGAAGTTAGATAATTCCATGAACTTGCCTGTGTATTTAAAGAAGATGCATTCATATAGGAAATATATTTAAAGGCACATGCAATTTTCTCATAGAAATATTTGAAGAATTAAAGTAGAATGGTTTGTTACCTATTTTACTATAGACGTGAACTTATTTAATTTTCTTATCTCATGTACGTTTTCTCAATTGTATAAAATCACAACAACATTTTTATTTTTCAACTTATGCTTCGCATCTAAATGTTTCTATGAAGCTAAAAATAATCACTGGGCTCTTCAAGTTTTTGTCTGTACTGGAAAAATAAGAATATAATGTCAAGGACAAAAGCATATATTTGCAATGAGCAATTATTAATAATAGTTTTTGAAGTTGGGTTTTGTATTCATTTTCCTGACCATGCCCTGACTCAATAGTTCTGTACCCTTAACCTGTTTGTGCTGTGACTGGAGTTTAGTTGTTGACTTATTGAGAAGATGCTTCTTGTAAAGCTCAGCTCTGTTAGGATCTCAAATAGTAAACTAGATTTTTAAGGGAAAAAAAAAAAGTCAAATCTAGGAGAGCAGGGACAAAACTGATGTCACCCAGTCTTGCTTCCATGGATAGGGGAAGTTTAAACTGGCCACCAAAGCTATAGGCCATATTTTACTTGGATTGTCTGTGACAACCTAAGCAAATAGGAAGTTTGGAAAATTATAGGCTTTTATATTTAACATGTTCTTGACGTTGAATAACATTACCTCAAGGTAGAATAAGTTTAGTGAAGATGCTATTTGTTTTTTCCTTTGTTAACCTAATTTTTTCTTTTCCAGCCCTGCAGCCACCGCTGTGATTTCTCTGGCTTTTGGACGCTACATTCTGGAACCATTATTTATTCAATGTGAAATTCCTGAACTTGCGATCAAGCTCATTACAGCTGTGGGCATAAGTGAGTATCGTAGGTATAAATATGAAAAGGAAAAAAAAAAAGCAAAAGTGATTGATGACAAAGTTTCTATGGACTTTTTTGCATGATGGGACTGCTCTCCACATCCTGCTCCTTTGGCTTCAGTTCCTTGCCAAATCTGTGTTGGAAAATAAAAGAAGGATTCGGAGTAATCCCTGGTATCACATTACATGCCAGGTTTGCATTGGATCAATAGATATGATGTCTAACCTTTTGATGTAGGCAAACAGAAACCACCTTATTAGTAAAATAGTACACAAAAAGAGAATTTAACAGATGAAAACCCAATTATTTTATGGATTTTTGAATTAGAAATTATCCTTCCTCACTGATAATATGTTGAATGATAACTCACTTATCCTCATGTGTTGGGTGTGTATGTTGTGTTCATATATTTTATAGTGTTGGCAGACTGTCACTTTCAGTGTTACAGTTTTAGCTGCCAGTTGATGGTCATGATAAAAGTCTTTTAATATGTGATTATTAGTAGCACTTCTCAGATTAGGTCTCCAAATTAGGAATTTGTTCATTTTTATCAATGGGCACAAATACTAGACTTTTTTTAAAGAAATAAAAAAGAGGAAAATACACAGCATTACATAAGTGATATGAAGCCAAACCTTTGGATATTATGGGAAACAATAGCTCAATTCTAGATGCTAATTGAATCAGTTCTAAGAATTAATATGATCACATTTGATTAAGTTTGAACTATTTGGAAATAGTAAATGACACAGGAGTAGCTGAATTGCATACTCAAGAAAAAAATTCAGTTATGCATGGCAAAAGTATTTCAGTAGAACAATGAAGAGAACAATGCACATTCGCCAGTAGAGAGGTGAGTGGTTTGTTTGCAGGAAAGAGTTAGGAATTACACATAAAAGTACCTCTAGTGTAGATACATATATTTTTGAACTTAGGTCCATTCTGGATTTGCGAAAATGCCAATTCACCAAACATGCACATGCTATTATTCTATGAAATGTTTGAAGAAAGGCAAAGAAAAATACTCGAAGTAGAGATTTCTGAGTTCTGGAGAGGTAATGGCAAACTTCACTCATCATGCCCTTAACACACGCTACAGATGTGAGACTCAGGGACAAATCATTGAACCTTTCCACACCTCAGTATTCTTACCTGTAAATCCTGCGGAGTCTCATCGGGTGTCTTGTGAGGATTAAATGACATTAACTGAGACAATGTATGTATAGTGTTTTGGGTAATGCCTGCAATTTATTAAGAACAAATTGCAAATGGTAGCTGTTTATACTCTTGGGGGAAAGCATCATTTGAAGTTCCCATGAGACCAAGGGTCCTTTCATTGCTATATTTCCAGGCCTTTACGTGGCTCCTTGTGTGATATTTGTGTTCACTAAATATTTGTTGATTCACTGATTTTTTTGAGAGAGGTCTACGAATTTTTCTCTAGCAGAAAAATCTCCTTGTTGAACCTGGAGGATTACACATCTTCAGTTTTCTCAGGCAGTAGGACCATGGTGGTAAATGAAACAGAGTTTTTTCAATGTGATCTTCAGATCTAATAACATGAGCTTTGGTGGGATGAACTATCTTAGCATAGTAGTTACAGCTTAGGCTCTGAAGGCAAACAGCCTGGAACTGAAACTTATTGTGACAATTTCTTAGGTGATTTGGAGCTAAATATTAAACCTGCTTAAGTATTACTTTTATTAATTGGTAAAATAGCTGTGAAAAGATAATCTGTCTTGGAAGGCCGCAGAAAGATGAAATCACGTCAGGTTTTTAAGGCCTTTAGCAAAGTGCCTTGCTTGTAGAAAGTTCTTGATAAATGTGGTGTCCCACTAAGGGATTGGACTAACAGCCAGTATTATAACCGTTATATTCTTGTCCCTTGAATGACTGAGGCAGAATCATACCACAATTATTATATTAAAAAAGAAGATAGAGGTAATGTTTCTGAGGGATTTGTAAATTTACAATAGAAGTTTTAAAAGCTATCTCTTGTGTAGGCACACATATTTCTCAACCTAATTAAAAGAATTAGCAAACTTCCAGTAGATTTTATGTAAACATTTACAAGTCTGCAAATATTGCCTGCTTTGGACTTCAAATGAGATGGATAATCATGACATACTACTACATCTGAGAGTCTGGATGACTCTTTTTCTTATCCCAATGCTATTAAACTTTTTGAATGGAAAATTTGTATTTTGTAGGAGAAAATGGAAACTGTTCAAACCAAAATTTTAACACAGTTGTAGGTAAGGCCAATTGTGGTTTACCAAACTCCTGTGGTAGAGATTGATGATGGAAGAGTTCACAAAGCCTGAGTAAATCTTGGGTGAACCTAGACATTTTCTTCATTTTTGCCATTAGTTATGACATTAGCTTACAAATTTTGATGTTCCGTTTGCAAGCTTGAGATTCTGAGGAAATGCATTCCTATAATCAGAAGCACTGAAAGAGGAAACAAGGTATTGTTATGACTCAGTGGTAGGTCGTGCTGGGGGGGAAAGTGAGACTCTTCTTTGAGAAGAATTTAGCTTTAATGCAGCAACAGGATGGACATGGAGATGCAGAAGGAGAAATTTGGCTAGGGACAAATCTCTCCTATTCTGCATTGTTTTTTTTTTTTTGTTTGTTTGTTTTAAAGATTTTATTTATTTATTTGAGAGAGAGAGAATGAGAGAGAGAGAGCACGAGAGGGAAGAGGGTCAGAGGGAGAAGCAGACTCCCCGCTGAGCAGGGAGCCCGATGTGGGACTCGATCCCGGGCCTCCAGGATCATGACCTGAGCCGAAGGCAGTCGCTTAACCAACTGAGCCACCCAGGCGCCCCCCTCCTATTCTGCATTGTTGAAAGTGAGTATCCATGATTTTCTGCCTGTGAAGGGTGGAAGTTTAGTGAGATGTGGAAAACAGAGTTTAACTGCATGAATTGCTTCCCTGTATTCCTTGGGGGAAGGAAACAGTTTGTGATACTTTGAAATCTCTAGTTCAAGTGTAGAAGAAGCGCAAACGTGAAGGATCTTGTTAGAATCAAGTCACAGAAAAAAAGGAATGTCAAGTTTTGTGAAATGTCAACCAACCATTTGAGAAATGATAGTGGGGTGGGAGTGGGGAGTTACTAAATGCTAATTTTATCTGCCCTTTGTTGAAAGTACTCGATTTCATTTCTGTCAATTTGATAAAGATGAAAAGTTTTTGCTTATCCAAACTCCTGTCCATTTGGGTAAACATGTCAGGCACAGGGAAGTCCAGCTGGAAACTCTTACACATCCACACGAGGTGCTCTCCTCTAGCCCAGTCTCAACATCATACCCATGCAACGCCAGCAGGTTTCCCTGTCCATGGAGCTTTGGCAAGGATTGAAGGGTGTTCGATCCGTAAAATGATATCCAGTCTTTTGTTCTGGTCTTCTGAAACTCTTCCTTATATAGCATATACTTGAATGGCAGAATATTATAATAAAAATACTTTCTTCAAAATATGAAACCTCATCCCAGATCCATTCCTAACAATCTCCGAGTCTCATTTTCTTCTCTCTTAGTGTGTGTATAGGTGAGTAAAGGACCCCACCCTGCTTCTCATACCTGGTGGGAATAATTAGAAGAAGCAAAGAAAATAACACTTGTGACTGCATTATAGGAAAAAAATAGCCAGTTCCATTCCATATCACTGTACTTTCTTTTCCCAAACTATTTTCCTGGCATCACTGAATTACATGAAAGAAAATCAAGGATCAGTTCTGGGCTAGCATTTCAAATACAGCATGTGGAGTGGTTTTGCGTAAATATTCTGAAGTCTGGCTCTGCCATACCTAAATTACCAAGACAATGTATTCTTAGGTAGATATACATGGTATTGAAATATAAAAGCACTACAAATCAATAACCGTATCCTTCAGGAGGATGACAAATAAAATGTAGGATCAAAGTATCCGGAAATCCTAGCCAAGATAAACATGAACCTTAGCAGAGAAGCAGAGCCACTAGGAGTTTGAAAGACCTAGGTATACTAGTGAGATCACGTGTGTCTTTTGAGCTACTTCCTCATTGTTACTTGAGAGCTAGGCGTAAAAGTGTGGACCCTGAAGTCAGTTTACCTAGGCTCCAGTTTATCTTTAGGCTTACCTGTGTGAACATAAGCCTGTTAAATACTATCCCAACTTTCAGCTGCCCATCTGGAAAGTAAAGCCAATGATGGTGACCCCATCATAGAGAGATGAGGGTTAGATAACATTAACCATGTAAAGTCTTTGTACAATGCCTGCCATGTGATATTAGTTTACAATTATTTAATGTTTACCAATTTCTCAATATCAAGATCCTAGATATAGACTGTCTCTCCTTTTTAAAGATGTTTGTGGCTAGACGCGTTTATCTTCTCTGAAATCAATGCATCCAGGAAATGACTGCTAACAAAGAGAAAGGTAACCCAGGCAGCTGTTACAAAAAACCGTGGAATGATCGACTTTAACTCACCACATGGCATACATACAGCATCCATATATTTTATCAATTTAGCGTGAAGAAGTCAGAAGTAAGAAACCAGAGAGAACCTGAACCTGGGAGAAAAACCAATATATCCAGGCTCAGTAATCTTGCTCAGCAAATCTGAAGATGGACTTGAATTATAGAAGTGCAGAAAGAAACACGTGCCAGTCCTTCACATTTCCCTAAACATCCTCTTCAGAAACAGCTCCCTTCAAATATGTATTTCTTATCTCCAAGATTTATACATATAGCTTTCATGGCTGTGTTTCAGTTCTTAGAAAACTGCTCTATAAATAAGTAAATAAAAATTATATGTCCCTGTTTTTTCATTTTGGTAAGGAAAAAAAGCCAAAATTGACATAAATAGTTTCTAATGTGTGACATTTGCAATTATTATTCAAAGGGAGTAAAACTAGGTGGGACCACAGAACTTACTCAGATTTCTTTTATTACAATGTGGGTAGACCATCTATAAAAATCAAAGTAGATATTATTTGTTGCAGAAACCCAGAAAGCTCTTGCATTTAGTGAACCCCAAAGCCCCTTTTCAATATTGTTGGATAAGCAACATATGTAGACTGAAATTTCTGTGTAAAGACACACGATGAAACAGCACTTCTAGTCACTTGAGGACCTTCACGGTGCCTCTGTCCTGGCTGCCTGTTAAGCGGTATCCTTCAGGGTCATAGAGGTACATCTCAGCTGGAATCTGGTGTACCAGATAACGAGTGCAATGTGTGGATGTTCAGATACAGTGGGATTTTGAGAAACCTTTGAGAAGAATCAGTGTTAACCAGAATTTTTACTACAGCTGCCTGAGGGGAGTGCAAGATGAGAGAGATTATCGATCCATAGTATTTGCTTGATTTTGTCTTCCATTTTTTTTTTAAAGATTTATTTTTTTTATTTTGAGAGAGTGAGAATGAGAGAGAGAGAGTACATGAGAGGGGGGAGGGTCAGAGGGAGAAGTAGACTCCCTGCTGAGCAGGGAGCCCAATGTGGGACTCCATCCCCGGGACTCCAGGATCATGACCTGAGCCGAAGGCAGTCGCTTAACCAACTGAGCCACCCAGGCGCCCCTTTTCTCTTCCATTTTTAAGAAAACTTTACAAAATAGAAAATAAAACTCCAAATGCTCACTTTTTTTATTTCAATAGGCATTAAGTCTTATATTCTTTATGAAAGTAACAAATCCTCTTTCCTCTCCTCAAATATATAGATAGAGGTTCCAAAAATAAGAATGCCTCTTTCTTTGTCTCTCCTCCTCCCTCTCTCTTCCTTCCCTCCCTCCCGTCCACCTTTCTTTTCTTCCTCCCCCACTTCCTCCTTCCCTTTCCTGTCCTCTTTTTCTCTTTCTCTTTCTCTTTCCTTCGTTCTTTTTCTCTCTCTATACAACAGCTCTTTTCTATTGTGGAGTACTTTCAGAAATAGTGTTTTAGGTTTTAGGAGCTCTATTTAAAAGAAAACAGTGCTTTTTTGTTAGTGGTGGGAACATGAGTCCAATTTTTTTCAGGCCAATTCTGAATCTCCTTAACTAAAAAAATAATGCTTTTCACATGATGACTCATTTATCACAGAGTCATTTGCATAGAAAAAAAGAAAAGAATAACTGGATGATGAAGTGGGGAAGAGGGTTGCATTAAATTATTTTCAGCACAGAAGGGCTTTATGTTGAAGAAAGAAAAATAATTTTACTGTTTTATCCTCCCTCTGATAAAGTAATGCACTCTGCCATTAACAATGGACCTGTCTTTCTTCATGTGTTTAGCTTCAAACATAGGTACAATATTTCCCTTAGCCTCCCATGGAGATTATTTGGGGTTCCAGCCTTTCTGATCATTCTCATCATTACTCCTTTGAACCATTTCATCATTAGTAGACCCCTATTTAACTTTGTATGGGATCTTCTGATCCCTTATTTTCCCATCTTTGAATTTTTCAAAAATGAAAATTGTCTTATTGATTTTCACTTAGAATGCTGCATGTCCATTATAAAAAATATTGAATGCAGAAAAAGAAATAAAAATAAAAAATTATTCAGTATTCTGTCATCTATAGAAACCTTCTGTTAGTGTTTTGGTGAACAGTCATTCAGATATTTTCCCTTCATTTCTCTCTGTCTTTGTCTCTCTCTCTGTCCATCCATCTATCCATCCATCCATCCTTCTCTCTGTAACTTGCTATACTGGTCAGTAATATATCATGAACACCCTTTCATGAAATACATATTTAACTGCATCATGATTTTAAATGGTGCATAGTAAATCATTAAAAAGGTGTACCTTAATTAGCCTTCCTTTAGGAGTCTAGGTTATTTTAAAATTTTTGCCATTACTGTATATGTTATGTGTTGGTAACATTTGTACTGATTCTAAAGTTCTGAAATGAGCTAGTGATTATACAAGGCAATGGAAACTATGAAGATAACTGATGACTGTGTAATAGGAATACTTCCTATTGCAACTCGAATTATCAAAATCCTGTGTGTTGTTTTGTCCCCTGAGAAGTATCTTCATACATCTGTGTTATTTGTTTAGGACGGATACACCTTTTAAAAGATAAAGCTTATAGATAATAACTGCAAATGTCAGGTATGAAGTAGCTTTGGCGGGGGTGGGGGGTTAACACTGAAAATAAACTTCTGGAAAGAGCATGAAGTTGAAATCCGTGGTCTAGAAGAACCTCTAGAAGTCATTCCAGCTGAGTATAGAAGTCAGGGTCTTAGAGTATCACCATTCGTTTCATGCCTTCTTGGCTGAAGGGTAGTTTTTTTTAAACTGAGGATCCAACTCATTCATTTATTCAACAAAATTGTGTTGATTATCTTCTTGGGCTAAGCATGGAGCTGGACACTAGCAATACAGAGATAGAAAATGCTTGTTCTGGGGCGCCTGGGTGGCTCAGTCGTTAAGCGTCTGCCTTCTGCTCAGGTCATGATCCCAGGGTCCTGGGATCGAGCCCCGCATCGGGCTCCCTGCTCCGCGGGAAGCCTGCTTCTCCCTCTCCCTCTGCCCCTGCTTGTGTTCCCTCTCTGTCAAGTAAATAAATAAATAAATAAATAAATAAATAAATACAAATAAATCTTTAAAAAAAAAGAAAATGCTTGTTCTATCCTCAGGGTTCTCATGCGCTACCATGTGGGGAGAGTGGATAGTTGAGTGCTACTCAGGAAACTGTAGATGGCATCATTAAGAAAGGGAAATTCTGCTGGCTTCACACCCAAGGTGTATCCTAGGCCTGGAACTCTTTTGGACTCATTACTTAGAACTCTTTTTGTCCAAGTCCCCAGACACATCTTGGAAGCCTGTATTTTTAGGGTAGGTTGAAAGTCAGTCACTCCTTCATGTGCTAATTGGAAGGTGGAGAGGAAAAGCAGAGTGCCCACTAGGGCTAGGTCTGAGAGTGAAGAATAAAATACTAGCCAACTTCTTGACATCTTTCTTGAGTGATTCCATCCTGGCAAGTGCATATGCGTAACATCATGACAGTAGGAAATAGTTGCCTGACTTACCAAGCTGGAGAGTCATATTCAGCAATTTGATTGCATATTATGATGACTTTAGGATTTGGTTAGAAGATATACATATTTTTTTAAAGATTTTATTTATTCATTTGAGAGTGAGAGAATGAGAGAGAGCACATGAGAGGGGTTAGGGTCAGAGGGAGAGGCAGACCCCCGCCGAGCAGGGAGCCCGATGTGGGACTCGATCCAGGGACTCCAAGATCATGACCTGAGCGGAAGGCAGTCGCTCAACCAACTGAGCCACCCAGGCGCCCAGTTAGACGATATTTTTATATGATTTTTAAGAAACTACAGTATATGCCCACTCTTATTGACATATACAAAGACCAAGAAATGAATTTTTACTGTCTGGTGGTTTTATCCAAGCTTCTCAAACTTCAAGGTATGCATAAAAATCACTGAGACATCTTGTTGAAATGTATCTATTAGGTCTAGGGCAGTTCCTGAAATTATGCATTTCCAAAATGCCTCCAGGTAATGCCAACTTTGCTGGTTAATGGGTGGAACTTTGAATAGCAAGGACCTAAGATGTCTTCATGCCAATGAGAATTCACCTTCTGTAACTTCATCTATTTGTTTGCAGCTGTAGTGATGGTCCTGAACAGCATGAGTGTCAGCTGGAGCACCCGGATCCAGATTTTCCTAACCTTTTGCAAGCTCACAGCAATTCTGATAATTATAGTCCCTGGAGTTATGCAGCTAATTAAAGGTATGGACTGGAAAGTAAATGCTTTTTAAAATACGTATCTGCTTTTGATCTTTCCTAGCACTAACTTCCACTTGTACTAGCAGAATCCCTTAATTAGTCTCTGTTTGTGGAACTTAGACTCTATACTGTCATCGAATTGATTTGAAAGACTGCTGCACTGGGGGGGGTGCATTGGTATTTACAGCTGAATGGCAACAAGAGAATTAAGACTGGGCCAAGCAACAAAATAAGGCATCAATGAATTCTCTCCATATAAACTCTTTGGAGTGAAAACTCAAAGTGGAAAAACAAATCTGCCATTAGTTTCAACTACAGATAACTATAGCCTCTTATATTTACTTTAAAATAGTTCACTAATAGTAATAAAGACTAAAGGAAAAAGGATATCTGGAAAATAATGAAAGATGACCAGTAATTCTTTTACTCTATGGCTATTATTACTTTTACCTTGAGAATAGTTTTGATGGAAGGGGAGTCAGATATGGGAATAGCATTCCGAAAAACCAAATATTATCTGACAAAAAAAGTTGTAAAAACTTAATTTTTATTGTTACTTTATTTTTAAAGTAAAATATGCTTTTCTATGGGAATGTAATATCATTCTGGGGGAGTATATGTAGAGTTGACTGTTTAATAAGAAAAGATGAGATGGTTGAGCAGGTGATGTTATTTAGAGTTTCAGCTGTTTTAGGGAAGAAGGTACATGCAGTTGCTTGGATTCAGTGGAAGTTGTTGGAAGCGTAGGAGGTCCAGGTGAATTCATTGGCAATGGGCTTGGTAATAGGGAATAGGAACGTGAGATGAAATTGTGAAAGAGTGACGTATAATTTGGGCATCTTAAATATTTAATGTTTACATTGATATTGTCTGTTCCAGGAAAGGGAATTTAGAGAGAAATTTTATGAAGTTGCAGGAGAAGAATTACACAAAGCAAAAGGAAATGCCAAAATTCAGCAAAATAATTGCTGATGATAGAGGCATCAAACAATAACAAACACTGAAAGATCTGTCACTCTGTAGCTAGGGTAAGGGAGCTGCTCTTGTGCATTTACTAATGGAAGATCTTAGAACTCTCCTGGCTAAATGATTGCATCAAATCAAGCAACTTTGGCCAACTCAGAGTAAACACAATAAAGATTTTAATGCTATGGCTTACACTAAAGAGAAGACGTGAGCTCGCTCTTCTAGTTCACATTGGCCGCCACGGAGCTGGCCTGCTCATTTTATCTGATCCATTAGAAGTGTGGAGAACATAATCTGTTTTGTTAGTGCTTTCTTTTTATGGGCTAACTCTTTAGTCTCCTGTAAGGAGTTTCTTCCATTTTTGGAGAGTGCAGAGACCCTGAGTCATTGACCTTACTTCAGTTCTAGTTTAGGTTCCAAAAGATGATATACTATCCTTTAAAACTCTAATATAAGACTGTAGTCATTTTTTTTTAACCACCTATTTATATATGTATGTGAGATGAGGTGAAGTTTTCCAAATGCTATTTTATTGTAAATTCCTTAAGAACATAGATCATAATATATCTTTTGCATCTTTCTCAATTTAAAATAGAATGATCCTTTAATTAATATTTATGCTTTCTTATCAGTGCTTAATGTGAACAGGCTTCCTTTTATAGCTCACCTAATAGAGAAATGCTGTAACAATATTACTACATTTAAAGAAAATTTTATTATTTTGGAGACCATTCTTAGCAAGCATATTTACTCTATTAATACAAAATGTTGATTTTTCTTTCTAACTTAATCACAAATTTTTCACATTAATTTGAAACTCCAGGAAGATAAAAGCTTTACTAATACAGAGTGTGCATTTATTTCCACTCTAATCAGATCCTGAAAATAGTTGTATGTTCTGTACTTATGAGGCTTTGTTAAACTTTCCTTTGAATATTATGACTTTCATATTCCTGAGACCTCTGTTATTCATCCAAAATATTCCTGAAGTCTAAAAAAGCCTCTCTTTTGTAATACTCTCAAAATAACACTTTTTAGGATTTATACTTTAGGACCTGATCTTCAATAAAGTTTGGTTTTTCTTATTGCTTATTCAGTACTCTACCCTTAGAATATTATCTCTTTAGGCCAAGGAGACCATATGTCATGATAAAAGAATATTCAACAGATGTTTTTATCTGAGCTCCAGTATTTATATTTCCCTTCTATGAGGACACAGAGATGTTTTAGTAAAACAGGCATTTCTGAATTCACTGTCACTTTTTTTAAATGAACTATATTTTGGCACTGGATACTTTGAGGGAAAAATTATTTACTGTACAACTCAACCTTCTCCATTTTTGGTCTCAAAGCTCATACATATTATATTAATATATATTGTTGTCTGGGCAACCCAGGCAACAACTGAGGTTTCAGTGAAGAGAGAGGGTCACAATCACATATATCATCTACCTCCCATCCCTCTTTTTTTTTCAGATAAACAATGGATTATATTTTACATAAGTATATCTCAAATATTCCATGACACATAATTAAACTAAAAAATTACTATTTCTACAGAAAAATAACACAGTGATAAATATTCTGAATCTTTTATATGCCCATCCCTCTTTTATTTACTTGAGTGAAGACCAATTTTGAAACAAAATCACATTTCCCATTTTGGTGATCTCATTTGCTATTTTCTTTAAGAAAGAGACTTTTTGTGTTTAACTTTGAATATTGGCTAAATCTGAATTTTTTTTTTTTGTAATTATCCAAAGGATAAACAAGAAAAAGGCCCAGTATGATTCACAAAGTAGGGAAAAATGTTATGAATTAAAGCATTCAATCCACATGTTGATGCAAAATTTGTTAAGAACTATCTATTTTAAAATTCAGTATAATCTCTTTTCAGTGTTTCTAGAGGGAAACCATGCCATTCTCTAAGACAGGGTCAGTGGACTTTCTCTATAAAGGGCCAGATGGTAAATATTTTCAACTTTGCTTGCCATACAGTCTCCTTCACAACTACCCAACTCTGCCATTGCAGAGTGAAATCAGCCATAGACTGATAATATCAATCCTAATACACAAATAAGTGGGCCTGGCTGTGCTCCAATGAAACTTTATTTACACAAGAAGCTTTAGAAGGCAGATTTGGTCCACAGGGTTTTCTACCACTGTGGGTACTTAATAGACTACAGGGGAAAATAGAAAACAGAATGAAAATTAAATGATGTGAGAAGGTGGTTCTTGGGTTTTTTGCTACCTCCTCATTGAGAGTAGAACTGTGGATATTTCTTTCCAAGTGTAGATGCCAAGGGCAGTCTGCCCCAAGATGGGCTGCTTTGACATGAACATTATTTTGAGTTAAAAGCAATCAAAACCCAGCAGATTCAGGAAAAGCTCTTTACCTCCCCCTGAGCTATTAACAAGATAGTTTCCTCTTTACCTAAGAGACTCATCTTACATAGTAGGGCAACTTTTGTTTTCCACACATCTCCTTTTACCTTCCTGCTAATGTTCTTTCTCCCCTTTATATCCTCAGAACCCTACTCCCCTTCCTAGCTCATGTAACTATCATATTGCCTCACTGTCTTTGGAATTTCCATGTCTGTGGAGGTTCCCTATATGTATGCTATTAAATTTGATTTTCTCCTGTTAATCTGTCTCATGTTAGTTTGATTCCTAGTCCAGCCAGAAGGATTTTAAAGGGCAGAGGAAATTCTTTCTCCCCAACACAAGCATTAAATTATCTTTATTTAAAAGAATTCTATCATACTCCTGTTAACTGTAATCTGTATGGTTTACAGATTATTCCTTAGTCTTCTTTTATGCTCAAACTCTGTAAGAGTAGAGGCACACTCAAACAAGGAACTGCTTTGCTCTTTGCTATAATTTTATTAAAAGAGAAATGTGAAATAGTGTCAGTGGTGATCAATATACTTTTGGGACTCCTCCTCTAGAATGGATACAGTATTAATAGATGAATCTGGCAATGAGCAGGAAGTGAGAAATCTGGACCTGAAACAGTATAGTTCATCCCCAACCCTCCCATTTCTTTCTCCATGTTTATGGTTAAAGAATGAATAATAACCAATTCTTTGAAAAGTCCTAAAATCTTTCTGTTCTCATTACAGGGCAAACACAACACTTTAAAGACGCCTTCTCAGGAAGAGATGCGAGTATTATGGGGTTGCCACTGGCTTTTTATTATGGAATGTATGCATATGCTGGCTGGTAAGTTGATATCTCTAGATCTGGTGGTTTGTATGGGTCATTAATTCCTTCATGTATTTTGGTTAAGTGCCAAGCAAGCTGCTAGATGAGTGTGAATAGCCACAATCCAGCACAATCTGCCTTTTTTGAAGTGAGGAAGATGGTGTGGCTCCCTCCACCAGGCCACTTACTGTGCATATGACTTAATGTAAGCATAACTGAGTTTTTCAGTCAAGTTAACTATTAGACTTAGCCTGATGTTATAAAAAACAAACAAACGTGGGTCTTAATATTGCCAAAAGATCTGTTATAGCCACTAAGTCAGGAAACAAATGGGGAGGCCTGGTGTACTTTGCCAGGGACAACTGCTCCATCCTGGGGAATCCTGAGGGGGCTGAACAAATTGAAAGTACAGCTCCTGACTGGGCTTCCCAATACTGTTGCTGAACAAACTCAGATGAACTTGTTGCTAGAGAAGCCAATAACTCAAGCAACGAGGGTTTAGAAAAGGGAAAGAGAAATTTATTTCAGATGCTGGCACCTGGGGGAGGTGGCAGGCTCAAGCCTTAACAATCAACCTCTCTGCCTGTAAGATGAACACCTATGGGAGAGGTTTGGGGGTTAAGTGCAAGAGAGCAGACAGGGTGCACGTAATCATGGGGTGAGTATGTGTTTAGCCCTTGATCATGGGTAGGGAAGGGGACATGTGGGGTGTGGTCTTCTAGGCATTCCATTGTTAACAGGGCTTTTCTGGTCCAGTGGTTAGAATGTTCTGGTCATTGCAAAATGTCTTTGTGCCTCAAGAAAGTATAATAAGAAACAAGCACAATGGGTTTAGTTAGAGCATGAGTTAAGTGGTTTTGTCTATTTCTGGTTCTAACTGTTGGGGTCTACAATTGAGCAAGAGAATTCGCTGACATTAACCAATGCAAATCACTTATAAGTCTGTATCAGTGAGGACATAATAGTGCCATGAGAAATTAAAGATTAATTCTTTGCTTGTCAAAAGGGCCTTCAGTTGAAGCTCCAAGGTTGTTTGCAAATAGTGGTTAATTGATTTTTCTCTACTGTCCCATGAGAATGAAATCATTCAGATATAGAAATAAGTAAGGTGTTCCCAGAAGGTTAAATGATACTCGAAAAGCAGGGTAGGAAAAACTAAGATGGTGAAAACAGGTATACTAGATAATCTGTTACATTTAAAGGCTCTTACAAATTCCTTAAAATTTCCTCAACATTTGAAAAACAAAATATTCAGCAAAGATGATTAAAATCACTATGCCATGGGTACATTTCCTTTGTGCTTGTTAAGCTGTGATAACCATTCTGGTTGAAGCATTAGAACTTCATATTTATGCCTTATTTTATTCAGGAACTTGAATAACAATAATCATGGATAAGGGTGTGCGATTTTTTACTAATTAAATTTTATTGATCTAAGACTCAGTGGAAATGACTGTTACAAGAAAGCCCACTAGGTAGAAAAGTATTGCTTAACCATCAAAATCATTGTAGTAAAATTAAATTTCACTGTTTTGGAGTTATTAATAGCAAAATCTCTTTTTAAAAATTATTTATAGAGCTAATAGTTGTACAACTTTAGCTGTGAGAATGTTCTATGAACATAAAAATAGTATCAGGAAACCACACTAACTCAGAAATTATGTAAATGCATTTAATATAAATTTTATTTTCTTCCATTTCTTTAGTTTTTAGATTCTTACCTTCCAGTTAGTGCTAGAATATAAAGATATGTTTCAAAATAAATGGAGTATTTACCCTATTAATCTCATTGAATTGTGAAAATACAGCATTAGAGGAAAATTAGGAGGGTATAGGAATTTAAAATCTTAACCTAGCTTTTGAAGAAAAGTATGTTTGAAAGGCATTACAAGGTTGTAGCTCTATGTGGTATAGGATAAAATATTTGTATATTCAAGAAATATTCTTACAGCTATTGTGTATAAGTATCAATCTTGAATCACACAGTATATTTGAAGTCTTTTTATTTTTGTCCAAAGCACAATGTAGTGCTGGGCAGAGAGAAGAACAGAGTTGTGATCACAGGGTTAGCAGCAGAATCCACCATTCTATGGCTATTCAGCCTGCATCAAAGCTCTGGTGCCCTGGGGCAGCAGCCAAGCTACTGGGAGGGTAACCCAGAGACCAGAGTGAACTGGGGAGGTGGTAAAAGCTTTCAGCTAGAGCCAAGTGTTGGGAGCCCAGCAATATTCAATCAGGAATGTGGAATGTGGAGATAGTCACAAAGGAGATTTGATTAATTCTATTGAATGAAGTTTCTTTTGCCTTTGAGTGCCATGCATCTGTTACCACCGAATCTTAAAATATTCTTCTATCCAACTCACTCTCCCACTACCAGTACCAGATATTCAGGTCAGCAGCTTTGTGTTGAGCAAACCTTCTCTACTTCTGTAGGCTTTGGAGGGCTGAGGGATTTTTCCATTTCTCTCACTCTTTTCATTTTAAATTATCTTATTATCGTAATATTTTGTTTTATTGATGCTGAACCTAAAATGCTGCTCATGCCAAAATGATTTAAAAAATAATTTGGGTGATATAGACAGACTTTAACAATTCATGAAGTGGGCAGTCTCTACTTTGAAGAGTCTAGAGAACCACAAAGTGGGGTGGAAGACAGGAAGCTTTTATAGGATATGCTTTTATAGAAATCTTTCAAAGCATAAGGGACAAGGAAGAGAAAAATAGAAAATGAGTAAGGAACAAGGAAGTAAGTATAGATCCCAGAGTTGGCATCTGGGGACTCAGTGGCCCCATTTTGGGCCGAGAAATGTATTTCAGTGCTCTCTTTACAGGGAACGTGGGTTTACGTGAACTTTTGTTTACACTTTTACCCATATGATCCTTCTCTCCACTCCCTATTTTAAAGAAGAGGAAACTGTTGATTTTCTCCTATTCTTAAGAGGGGTTCGAGTATAGTACTGGAAATGAAGACCGGGATTTTAAATGCAATATTACCAGATACAAGTGGCTTGTGCAGAGACAGAGGACTAACTGCATTTCTCTAACGTGGTTGTTATGCTACCTGAATGCTGCATTGTGGATAGGTAGAAATAATCTGGTTGTTAATCTATGGCCGTCAGTCTTAGAAAAAGAAACTATGTCTAGAAGAAATAGTCTGTTGGTTCAGAGTTCCAGAGAAAAAGTTAATATCTGCTTGTAAGTAGAACAAGATGGAGACAAAAAGAGTTCACAGAGAGGGGTATTTATTCCCTTCCCAAATGTAATCCTGCCTCTCTGACCTCTCTCTGTCTTTCACAGTATAATGACAAGACTAGGTGATGGAATTATAAACGGGACACTGTAAATGAGTCTCCACTCCCCATGCAGCTGCCGTGACAACGTTTGATGCAAACAAAAAGTGTGGGGGGCATTGCAAATAAGTCAGATGGAAGCAGCTACTGTCATCAGAACTTAACCACCTAGGGTGTAAGTAAAAGCAGCGAGAACTTTGTCGATGGGGAGGCCTTGCTCTGTTAGTAATTCAACTTCGACATGGTGAATAGGAAAAAGACCCTGCCAAACCTTGGGTCTGAATAGAGTAGGCTTTTGGCTATGAGCAGTGCAGAACCTTTTTAGAATGATGAAAACTCCTTCACAGAAACATGATTAGGGGGAAAGAAATCATTAACCCAGCCAGGGCACAGAGTTGGGTCAGAGCAACTTTAATATTATTACCAGTGTCTGCATTCAGAGAGATATGTCTGCCAGTCTTCCTCGTGGCCCAAGGGAACTCAACCAATTTCAGTCCCATATCCTGATCCAAAGCTAAATATTGCTTTGTGGGGTTTTTTAAAACTGTGTAATAGAAAGTTTTTCTGTGTCTTTTTTCTCCCTTTTAAATCCGATCCTCGGTGGATTTAGTCTTTCTAAAGTACCTGCTGGGATTATTTGGTACCATTGTGTCAAATCTAATCTAAAGAATAAGCTTCTTTTTAAAATAATTCACATAGTTGGGTACTGGAATGCATTGCCAGCTTTGTGGTACTTTTTATACACAATTATGGAAAAGCTGAAACAATGGATCTTGTGAATATTCTCGAGAGGCCTTGAGGAGATGTAAAGCAAGGAGAATGCTATGGACTCATTGCTGGAGACTAGGAAAGCATAAAGGTGTATTTCCCACAGGATGTGAATGTTTGGACCAAAATAAGAAGCTTTCTCCTTCATACCCCCACCCTGCCCCAAGCCCTTTCCTTTTCTCTATTCTCTGGAGCTATGGCAAATATTTGAAATTGTGTTCCTTTTTTCACAAATATTTCCTTTCTTGCTGTAAACATTGTTGGAAAATACCAGTTTTTAAAACAACTATTAAGAAGGAGCTGGATATTTTTGACATGAGAAGCCTGGAAACGTGTGTGTGTGTGTGTGTGTGTGTGTGTGTGTTCGTTATTTTATATTTGGGTTTCTTTCTTTCTTTCTTTCTTTCTTTCTTTCTTTCTTTCTTTCTTTCTTTCTTTCTTTCTTT